TACTACTACTACTACTACTACTACTACTACTACTACTACTACTACTATAGCCTACCACCACCACTACTACTACGACGACTACCACCACCACTGCTCCCATCACTACTACCACCACCACTACCACTCCCACCACCACGACTACGACTACGACTACGACTAGGACTAGGACGACGACTATTACTACTACTGCTACTACTACTACTACTGCTACTACTGCTACTACAGCTACTGCTACAACTCCTGGGAGCCTCGACCGTCGAACTGACGTGAGGGTCTCGAGTACAGTCTTCGACCACCACGGCACGGATGCCACCGGTCGTTCGCTGGAGGGCACCTGGGCGCAGTGTGGCAGAACTGGGACCTGTATTGGACCCGCCAAGTGATCTATTGTACAATATATACTCTATAATCTATATATATCTATATAAATCAAAATACACAGAAACATCACAGAAAACACCAGAAACCCAACCAGTCTCCAATGGTCCACTCGGACAAACTCTGAACAAACTCCCGTCTCCAGTGGCCCAAGAGGCGGAGTCAATCCATGGAACACTCAGGACTTGGTGAAGCTTAGAGGCTCAATTCTGAGTGACTGGAGGCGACGGGCCGTTGGGCCACTGATGGCCAGTGATGACTGGAGGGCTGCAGTTGACCCCACGAATTCTGCTCATTCACATGTCCCGGTTGTGTTTTCTTTTGTATGGTTTGCCTTTCAGCTAGCATCTGCCCTGTCTACAGAACATGGCCCAAAGATGCCCAGAGTGTGTTTTCGCCGAACGAACATCCTGCAGGAGTTGATCGAACATGCGTTTTTGTCTCCAAACATCCGTCTGGCCAAGGCACAGGATGAAGCTGCAGTTTTCCAACGCACAGAGCCCAGTAAAGTCCATGTTGCCTCGGAGCATTGACACCGCGGCGCGGTGTGGGCAGGCGAAAAGTGGCGCTCTTGGGGCCGTTCCAGCGGCTTTTGTGGCCAACAATGAGGGCTCCCCAATCTGTCGGTCAAAGGGAACTGGCACAAGGTGCGCTTGCCATTTCAATTCCCGCTTCAAACGATTGATCGTCCTACAATGTCCTACACGGAGTCACGTCCATCGTGTGCATGTGAACGTGGACTGAGCAACTTCCGTGGACTCAATATGGCTTAATGCGTTTAAGTTCTTTCAATCCTTCTCCTGGCATTTTTGGCATCTCCTCATTAGGGCTAGTTTGGAGTTAACCGCTGACAGCCAAAAGAACTCTATCGAGATAGACTTGGATATAATCCTTGTAGGTGCACCGATGTATATTTTTTGTTTCCTGACAATCACGCCAAGCAATTTGCCTAATGCCCTGCATTATCCTTCATTCGATGATTGACCCAACAATGTATCCGAAAATTAATCACACATCCGAAAACATGCATTCTTTTGTTTCAGGACTTCAAAGGAACCATGAATTAATATTACAAACCCATGCCTTTAAAAGGCGAAAGCGGATCGCTCATGGTGATGCCAAGCGGCCGTCGCTCATCACGTGAATCCTTGCTCGACCGAGCGGCTCGGTGTGACGTTTTGGCTTTGTCTCCCAAATAGGGATGGACAAATAAGAACATATTCTTGATATATTCTTGCACCATCATGCAATACTCGCGTGCATCAAGAAAGCGATTTAATACTCGCCATATCTGTTTGCCGATCCTCCTGTACGATCGCCGCGGCTCACGAGCGCGATCTAGAGTGTTGCGAGGCAGCTTGACAAAGATGAGACATTGTTACATGCCAGGGACACTGCGTATCATTCCCAAAAGGAGATGAGTTGCAGCCAAAGGCCAAGTCCACAAGTGCTAGCAGCTAGCAAGGCATTAGCTTGGGAGAGCCACGAGTTGGAGAAATCAAAGTCACAAATGCATTTGTTGAAACCAAGGGTCGGACAACCAGGAAACCACTTCTTGACTTCCTTGGGAGCGAGCTCAGGTCGTGCAAAATCATGATGCGCGGTTCGGAGTGTCTAAGAATTTTTGTTGGCCTCATGGTGTAGGAGGAGGTAGACCAGGTAGACCTTCCAAGTAGATGGCCCCCCTCGATCAGGTTGTTCATGGCTTCACTGAATTGAGCCTCTTTTCCCCAAAACCAGTCACAGTCAGCTGGAATCACCTGGAGGCCAGAGGATGATCTTGGTTTGGACTTTGCAAGATGCTGAATGGCCCTTGAAATGTTGGAAGTAATGCGTCGCATGGTCCAAACCTCAGCCTTTTGTTGCTCCAAGCTCCACTCCCCCCAAGATCAGGCAGCCCCAAAAGAAACAGCACGGACGCCGATGGAAAAACAGGTCCTTGAGAAACGGCACTTTGAGGAGAAGGAAGATCACCAAACAATGAGCAGAATGGCATGAATCCTCCTTTCAATAGTTTACTCTTACCCAAACACTCCATGAGACTGCCATATTTGCCGATCAGTTGGGGTGGTTTCAGGGGTCAATAAAGGCATACAAAGGCATATATGCCGCATGCCATACATGGAGTGTCTGGGCTTGACTGGTTCTCACGTGGTCTTCATTCATCCTGCCACGGGCGAACCCTTCGTTTCCACGGGCGAACCCTGCGATCGTGATCAAATCGTTCACAATCATTGAGTGGCCGTGAAAAGGGCCACCCAAACACGATTGAAATGAGATCGTTTCATGAAAAGTCTTTGCCTCCGAAATCGGAACCACTCTCCCATCACTTCAACCCCCTCTTTCCCCCCGTACCGGTCCAAGGTGCCCGGACCTGGTGGATCACGGCGGCCGGGTGACCGTGGACGTGGAGATAGAAGCCATACCGAGCGAGCCTCACCGGGCGCGATGACTGCGGCACTGGACTGGTTGGACGGGTGGGGTTCTGGAGAAGGACACAAGTTTTGGATGTTGGAAGGTGGATGGACACATTTATATAGCTATAGACTATTGGACTGCTCAAACATCTACAGGTATATATAATAAGTTACTTTTATAAATCCAATGCCGAGTCTTGGGCCGACCAACTAAACCGACTTTCGGGAGAGAACGACCCAATTTCCGGGCACCTACTGTAGGCCATAGAAACGTTTCATCATAGCCACTCGAGTTAGTGGTAGCTCAAGCCATATTTGATAAGACAAAACGAACACATCACCTCTTATCACCACTAAATACAATAATTAATGATGATGGTCAGCAGCACCTGTACCAAAACCCTTGGTCTTGATCCTTAAGTGGTGCTTTTGCATTTTTGCTGACCCTGATCTCCTTTAATTAGCGCGTATGTTTCCTCGAACTCCACTATCAACAACTTTCAAATAATCATCATGTGCAGCACTCCACATACTTGCCCAGTTAAGGCCAAAGGATGTTCGCCAGCACATCCTTTGAGATCAAAAAGGATCAAAAAGGTGCACTAAACCAAACAACCCTAAACCCTAAAAGGTTTCCACACTACATAGGGTAATGTTCCATTCTTACACTTCCCAAATTAGGGTATCATGTTACTTTGGTGTGTAGGTCGGAGGCTGGGAGTCCATCCGAGAGCCTATCCTCTGGCCAGTGCTGGTTTTGATAACTAACAAGGTGTCCGCAATTGTCAGCAGAAGGTTTCCATTGAATTGCTTGGAAGGCAGTGCCCTTGAACATATCAGGTCATCGGGGATCTGTATCGGAGCAAGGGACGGAGTGACCAGAATTGATCATGCCCCTAATGAACAAATCAAGTCAAATTCTCTGCGGATAGTGTTGAGCTGCAAGTGGCTGGAGGCACCAAAGAAGCACCTGTGCCCTCAAAAAGTAAACAATCCAGGCAACAAATGCGACGTGTTCCTCCTATCATCTCCTAACGGACCTGCTCCAGGGTGCTCTTGAAGGTGGACTTGCTGGGTTCAGTTGGCATCGTGAAGAAAGCAACAACTGGATTTTGGCGGAAGAAGTGATGTAGTCTTTGCTGAAGTCAGGCTAAGCACATCTTCGATGCAGCCCAACCGACTGTGCTGAGGTATAAACACATTTAAATTCAATTCTCTTATCAGCTTCCGATTACCTATGACCGAACTACTGTCGACTGTGCTCTTATCCACCTTGGGCAAATCGTACGCACCAAACACCGCATCTAAGGCCTGCCAAAGCTGCCAGGTGAACGTGAAAATTCTCATAACACATCTCAAGGCCCGAGGTGGCCACGTGAATTCTGAGACACTCCTGGAGTGCCTGGCTGTACAAAGTCAAAAGTTTAGGCCCAGGCTAAATGTGAACGCACAATACAGGTGTCACAAGCTCAAGTCTGGGTGGTCATGTTCAAACTGGGGCCCCTCTTGTCAGGGAAACGGGGTGCCACCTGCTTCAATGTAGCCAGCCATGTAGTCCTGAGGAACCAGTGCGCCAATCGGCAAGACATCAAAGTGCGGGCTGTAAGACTGGAGGTGGGAGTGCCACTCGTGGTCTGAGAAGTGCTCCTGCGAGGCGGTCGGGAGCAGGTTCTCTCGATACCCCAGTATATGGGACACGCCTGCACGTACCGACCCAAGGTCCATCCAGTAAACATAAAATCGCGATATCATATTATAATGGCGATCAGTATAAGATCTGCTAGCACTGCTGCTGGTAACCTGGTAATGCCCGGTCCCTGGTAATTAATATATGTGACATTATATATGTAATATACAATATACCAGCTGCCCATGGCTATGGGCTGCTTCGAGCCGAACTAGTACTTAAGTTGTTGAGACTTTCCCTTTTGAGCCAGGAATGTCATAGTGCCTGCTCCGTTGCTTCCTCCAAACTTCCACCCCTGAATGAAGCTTCTGCCACTGTCTGTCTGCCACTTCTGTCTGATGTTCGGCATCATTCAGCCAAATGATGCGTAGAACGTCCAACGGCGGTTCATTCCGTTCGACCCCCCGGTTTTCCCCTTCCACGCCCCACGACCCGACCCGGCCGACCCCTTTGGGCCGCAAAAACGGCCCAAATCAGGCCGTGCCAGGCACCACATCGCCACCCGGTTCTTCCCGGTTTCTCCTGTGGTTTCCGCAGGGTCTTGGTGAACTCCCCGTGCGCGTCCACGATGCTCGTGATGGGCCCCCGGCCCACCGTGGTCCAATGAGGGGAATCTCCGGGCATCCTGGGGAGGGCCATCGGTCGTCGGCGTGGGAGGATGTTTGGAGGTCTGAAAGGTTGGTTGGCTATACGCTTCTTGTTCGATCTGAAAGTGTTTCTTTTGTTTCGAACTCAATTGGGTGCTTGTACAGCCTTTACAGGGCATTGGAGCATAACTGCAAGTCTGGGTATGTCGCTGAGGGGGTCTACCATCTTTGTCTACTGATCAATGGACGCAAACTTAAACCGTTCCCTCTCCCTTTTGAAGTGCCTTTCTGGATGAAGGCCTCCCCTTCAGCTTGTTTGACTCTACCTTGATTCACTTCAAGTAAGATTGCTGTAACATGTACAAACAATGTATATACGGCGCAAACAAGTGCAAAGTGGATGGCCCAGGCCACCGGATTTGATCTCTACAGTACACCAACTTAACTCACGTTTTTCCGCTTGTCCTAATGTAGACTATACCCCCTCTATGAAGAGGTTACAATCCAGATGGATCCAAATGGGGCGTTTAATTGATCAAGAGTCTACACTATGGTTACGGCATTGATTGTCATTGATTCTGCACTCAAGAATCCCGCCATTCTGAGCTTGTGCCATCCCTCTCCTGTACTGCACAAATCGCCACTTCGGGCTGTGCGTCCCCTCGATGTGGACGTCTCCCTGGAAAGCGGTACCCGGCTCATAGCCCTCCAAGGGCGCCCAGTGGAATTCCGCTTGGTGCAAGGGATACTGAATCCTCAGACTGTGGCGGAACTCGAAGCAACCTACAGGTTCTTGCTGGAGAAAACCACTGAACCCGATGTTGGGGTTTTTGCGGGTTTGCAGGGCATGAGATGTGTGAGCGATTGACCAAAATGGCGAGAGGTGGCGAAATGAATAGTTGGAATTAAATGCAACGGAAAAGTCTAAGGTTGAATCCTGAGACTTGATATATAACATGGGAAGAAACATGTTCACCGTCCAACAATCATAGAAGATCATAGAAGTGAATCATTGCCCCCCGCAAGGCCATCTGCAAAAAGGTTCTGCTCAGCTTCCATGACATGGTGTGATATCTGTCGAACAAGTGGTCCCCAAATGTCTGAGTACATGTTTTTGCGATGTTTTTGTTGTTTTTTGTTGCATGTTGGGTACTATGCTGGGTCCATGTTCAGGTCACTCGAGGCTGTAACAGGTTCTGGATGCAACCTTCTTCTCAGAAAAGTAGTTGGACCCTCAAACATTCCGAACCACTAACCTGACAGCGTCCCTCTGGACCCCTGAAGGGGGTCCATACGGAGGAAAGCCATACGGGTCTGCCCCTCCACACTTGAACACCAAGGCTCCCATCACCCCTTGCTTTCACAAAGGCCTCTTTCGCGGACCAAAAGCGACTAAAGGCCTCATATTCCTTGTCCTGGCAAGGTCCATGAGCCTTCACATACTCCCATTCCTCGGTGGAACAAATTATGACCACCTGATGTCTTGACACTTGTCTTGACAAAGGTCCAAAACATCCGAGACACCCAAAAGAAAGTGGCAAGCCCTGTTATTCTGTTGTCTTCTTTGCTTTTAGTAGGCTTGGTAGGTGGTATAGGATCTGATGAGCATTCATAAGCCCAATGCACCAACTGTTTGCAACATCAGGATTCCTTGTCAGTGAGTGAACCTCGATAGACGTTGTGAAAGTCGATGGTCTGTCCCTTGTTATTTGTGCGTCGCATCTCAGCCACATCGATGCCAGCAATCACGTGACTCTCACTGGCACAAACCACCCATTTTCCTTCGTGAGAGCAGTTCACATTCCAGTTGGGTGCTTCATCCTCTGGACATAGTGGATATGCCAGAAAGGGTTTGCTGCCTAAGCTGAGGCTGTAATCCCAGCCATAATGAATGTGCGGTTGTGCGTGAAAGGCTCAAGGAACAAATATTACGAGAATAATCTCAAGCCTCCTGCTTTCTACTCAAGCAAGATCAAATCAAATATATAATATAAAGTATGTCGTGGTATGCTTGATCTATTTCGTTTCTGTGATAATCAAAAAATCAGCCTGTCAGTCCCTCCGAGAGCAGCACAGCGTATCACAGCCAAGTCGCCCTTTGTCCTTTTTATTTCAATGTCATCAAAGTTTGTCTTCTTGAGGGCAGAGGCACACGCCTGGCGCACCAAAAGCCGCGAGATCAGTGCCCTCTTCTGGTCCGCGAAGTAGACGAAGCGCAAGACCTTGTTCCGTTCGTTCTTCTCCTGGATTCCGAGCGGAGGAGCCCCCCATGGTGCCGCCCGCGCCGGTTGCAGTGTGTTGGTAGAGGGGGGTAGGACGTGTCGAAGAGAAAAGTGATGGGGCATTGTCCGGTGGTGCAAGAATAAACCACGCATGTCCAAAGCGACTTGCTTAAGGAACGCCCTTTTGCGCCATGCTGCCAAACAATGCACTACTGCACTCCATCCTGCACATCACGGAACTCACCTGTGCCACATCTTGCCGGTGCGGTTCGTTCGACACGACCAAATTTCACCGGTGTATGTGCGTCAGAAAACCTGTGCGTCGTGCGACTCAGTTTCAGAGTAGATGGCGCAATCTCTGAGGGACTGGTGGTTGATATATATATATACTTATATATATACATATATGCATATATAGACCCCCTGCCATAAGGACATCGTTGGGGTGCCATCGAACCTCTGAGGTTTCACTACATACCGAAGCTCACGGGACCTCGCCTTGATCAATTGCAGCAAGAACTGAAACTCTGTGCCTCGGTCGAGTTTGCTAAGCGAACTCGGAACGAAGAGTGACGTTCACCGGAGAGACGAAACGACCGACCGAACGGATCCGGAAAGGTGCCGAACTTCTCAAAGCAACGAATATCCTATTCATATAATGTGCATAGGGGAAGTTCATGGAATTTCTCATATCGGGCACCGGGCATTTTTCCCTCAAACAAATCCCTTTTGGAATCAAATCACTACTTGATCAGCCGTGTGGCCTTCAGCACCTCCTTCAGGTTCCCAGGAATCGATGTTCACTGCCCATCGATGGGTGTAGCCTGCTGCTGGCCCGACCACCTCGACCACCGGGCGTTCGCGTGCCTTGATGGGCAAGGTCAGTGCGGCGGCCAGGGCCCTCAGTTTTTGTCGATGGAAGTCTGGCAAGCCCTATGGACCGCCTGTGTGGCCCGCCACATGTGGCTGGGATGGCAAGGCCACGTCTGGCATGGCCTGCCCTTCTCAGATTGATCGACCGGTTCCCAGCATCGGTACCGACAACAAAATCCAGATTGGTCGACCATATTGCTATTCTTGTATAGATCTAGGAATCTAAGTCCGCATGTGCTGCCCAACGTCAACTTTCCATCCGCTGGGTACACCACTCGGTGATGGAAGATACACTATAGGCTTTCCAATGTCTCGTCTAGTGCCACTACTGTGGGTTAAACCACGCAATCCACGCAGAACATGCGCGATTCTTCCATGTCAAAGAGTCGGGGTGTAGATGGGTGAATCTTCTGCTCGGATTGGGACTCTTTCCTCAAAAAATCCATCAACTCCCTATATCAGCCGGGTTCCACGTCTCAAAGCGGCACTCCGACTCTAAGAAGAACAAACAAATCCTCGGCATTTAATTAGGAACAAGTCCCCCTCTTCCACACCACCATGCAATTAACTTCCATATACTTCCAAGGTGATCATAAACTTCCATATTCATATTCCATTCTACTTCCAGTTCGGTGTTGGTCAAAAAATCACGGCTCTGAACCCCAACTGCACCCTTTTCAATTCTACCATGGCTCCTCTGCACCAACAGGTCCTTTCCGCCCGCGCGGAGACCTCAGGAGTGATGCTGAGGGAAAACAAGCGATTCCGAGGCCTCCTGCGGACCATGGTTTTCCACCAAGATATTCAACACATCTGAGAAAATCAAAGCTGTGAAACATGGTAAAACCTCCAGCATTGAGGAGCCTAAATACTTGGCAATACCCCCATCTGTCTCCGTGCCCTTTCTATATACCTCCCCTGGTGCCTAAAACCTCTCCCGCACCCCTAGGAGGCGAGTTCGAGTCTTATGCTCCGTCCGCGAGTTCGCGTTCGCGTCTTACGCTCCGTCCGCGCGGGTTCCGGTTCCGAGTGAAGCTGAGCCGAGAGACTGACCCAGCCCTCCGGTGGCCCGGTGCCCTTGACTTTGCGATAGTGCAGGCGCGTGCCATGCAGCTCGAGTTGCTCCACCTCTGCGTCGTGGGACAAGCGCTCGTCATAGCTTGCAGAGGAGAGCTCCTCGCGGTCTTCTTGCGTACCGGAGAAGAGTGTGTGATGTTTCAAACGACCTGCATCCAAACCAAACCAAACCATCACAGTCAAATGTTCCCACACCATCATCTGGCTTTGAGCCATCCATGCTCCTGGCCATGTCGGACCTTAATCCCACCGGTGTCAGCACCACCCACGACCAGCCAAAGGGGCATGGAGGCACTGCGGGGCACGGCGCGATTTGCGCGTGAGGATAACCCAAAATGCACCGCACGGTACGTCGGAGTGGTGTGGCTGTATGGATGCCTACGAGCTCAATCTCAGGCAGCACTAGAGCTGTGGTTGTGCTGAGGCTAAGGCTGCTAAGGCTAAGGAATGTGGAGGAGCTTGGCTTCACTCCAAAGAAATTCCACAAGAGGAAACACAAACACACTGCTGGGAAAAAGAGTTACAAGCACAAACAAAGGCCACAACTTCGACGACCGTGTGAAGGTGCAATTAACGGAGGCACTCTACCGCTCTCCTCTACGACTTCGTTTGAGCCACTTGCTGCGGGTTTTCTTCTCCGCTTTTTTCGGTCATCAACTTGGTTGAGCACCACCGGGGTGTGGGGCAAACATGTTTTTGACATGGTTTGGGGAGTTTGGGGCGAAGAAGTTCTGCTAAGTTTGGGGATTCTTGCCAAGTTGGTGAAGGGGAAAAACGAGGGCTGCAAAAAGGCAAAAAACACTAAACGGCTTGGAACGCCAGTCGGCAAACAAACTCGGTAGGTATCTCTTGCAAATGCTCCCCCTCTGTCTCTCAATCGTCTTAGGCTTATTTCTCTCAATCGTCTTAAGCCTGTTTGCTTTCGTCCATGTTATTGCAAGATTTTGTGGAGCAAATAGCCCTCTGAAAGGTCTTCTTGGTTTCAGGACGCAAGCAACCAAGCAACATCTTGGTTTCATCGACTGATGAAAGTCCCCGGTCTTGCTGGCTGGATTCGTCTCCTAACCTTGTCTGTCTGCCTTCGGGGAAATCGATTGGATTCGTCTTGCCAGGTCGCTGAGAGGTTCCGCCGGAAGGGCTGGGTGTCGGCTGTGGGCTGGGTGTCGAGCTGGGCAGGGTGTCAAGGGCCGGCCTGGCTTTCCAGCGGCGAGATCGATGGAGATCAGTGGGGGATTGGCAGACTCGTGATTCATCCTTTGACAACACGACACCAGTTGGAGTGTACGGCTTTTTCAAATGATGGATCTAGGTTCAAAAATGGTCCGCAGTCGAGGTTTGTGCTTACTTTTAATTCTGAGGAAGCACTAACTTAGTTGATCAAGGCACTCGTGGCCGCTGTTTAATCTGATCTAATCTCCAAACATTGACATGTGACCTCACATTCACTCGTACAGTGCAGATCAAACAGGAAACAACACAACTCATTTGCTAACCTGGAACCTGGAAGTCCTTCAAAACGGAATGCCTAAAATAAAACATAAAACACACAGTAGACCTCTTGAGTCCTATAGGGATGTATACTTGGGACACTCGGACACCCAAAAACGCCAACATCGACCTCTCACGTCCGTGGCCCGGGGCCTGGGGGACAGGGTCACGGCCGCTTTCGTCACGTCGCGCACCAATCTCTCGCCTGACAGGGTCGCCGTGCTTCGTTTCCCACCATATCCTGCTTATGAGATTCTTCTTGGATTGGCATCATTGTGGCAATGCTGCACATGCGGAATCTTTGACTGGGATGGTGATTATATATAACTATATAATACTATATATATATATGCATGCTTATGTATGCTGTAAGATGTGGATGCAATGCACAGCACCCACACAGAAGTGCCGTGAATTTTGTCTTCCAGGTCTTTTGGGTTGAGATGGTCTCACTTCCCGGATTCCCTGCTGCCTGTCAGCTCGGCACCTCCGCCTTCCTCCAGGCGCGCGGTGTCTGGCGCATTCGCGAGCGAAGGAGAGGCGCCCAGTAGAAAGGCACCCTCATCGCATGGTTTCGGCCGACTGATGCATCGAACGGCGAGGCCGTTTGTGTGGCCAAGTGGTGAGAGCTGTTCTGATGGGCTGTTCTGATGGGCGTGGGCTGCGGAGGTAGATAGTATGACATCGGTGTGTGCGTCTAGAAAATGGAATGCCCAACACAACCCACTGCCAAAAAGCACGTGGACAAAAAAAGCCGGTATTCCTAGATCCCTTCAAGCTGCTGTACCTAAAGCTTCCTCCGCTACGCAAAAAAGGCGCTGTAATCTCAAAGAGGCACGTGGAGCCCTCTGATATCCAACCAAAATTTGGGTTGGGTCGCCACTTTTCAATTTGCTGGGCCTTTGCTGGGCATGTTGCGGGTTTTCACCTTTGGCCCAAGAAAAAGTCTTCAGCATAGAATAAAATGCTAAACACCCGTCAAAACCCAACAACATGCATGTACGGGTTGAACAAAAAACGCACACAAAAACACAAAAACAAAAGCAGTGATCAACCCCCCAAATGCAGGTTCAGGATGGTTAAGGTATTGCGGTAATACATATACATTATTGATATTGTATTATATTGACGTATAGTGTCCATCCCAAGAGCGATCCGAAGGCCGAGATGCAATGATCCCACCCAGAAGAAGGCCCAAGAGTGTTCGGTAGGGACACATGGCTTTGTGCGCCCGATGCCTGCCCCGCTCGGCGACACGTCGATGCAGTGACTGGATACTCCGATGTGGTGCGCAATGACTGGGCAATATATATCCCACCGCAGTCATGTCTATTCTCACACCGCAGTCATGTCGAAGCAGGCTTTGCCAGTGGGGTGCGGATTCTAGAAGGCTATGCCCAAACTGTCATTCATGCCTCGGTTGGGTCATCCTCCTTTGGTTGGTGGTAGCACCCTAGGATCGGTATCGATCCGCCACACCTGTGCATTTCGGCAAACTCCATGAACCCATTGGGATATGGCTTTCATGATCTTGTCACGCTTCTTCCAAGTGACGTTCTCCATGTTCGAGCATGGTTGACTTTCGATGGTGTCTAAATCACATAACAATGAGTAAGAACAATCTATTTTAATATAATATTATATAATATATATATATAATATATTGTTCATAAATGTTTTATCTCCGCCGGGTCTGCGTGTAATCAGCTGGCTGCTCAGGTTTTCCTTCGGAAGGGGCGCCTTTCAACATAAGGATGGAACATGGAAAACAACATGATATAAGACTCTGTTCTCAATGAAGCTAGCCAAATATCAAATGTTGTCAAACATTGAACAGTAGGAGTGTGCAACACCCAAACACTCCATGAAACTTTCGGAGACCTTTATAGGACATGTTCACAGGCCTGAACTATACCTTCGAATAACCTATATATAGATGCTACGATGCACCACGAATCAACCACGCCCCACCTTGCCATGGCTCCATGGTGGCGTCGCTCAATGGCTGTATCGACTAAAAAGTCAATCTATAGATCTATATATAATGTTAATATATATAGAGTCATCCTGAAGTCATGGTCATATTAAACCTATTGGCCTCTTGAAAGCTGAGAACAAAAAGACTTCCGAAAACACCCATGGAACTCCCCTGGAAACGCCAACCGCACAAATTTGCGCCCTGGAGGGTGAAGGACCGCCTTTGACACATGGAAAATGGCAAAGAGTTGTCACAAAGGATGCTACTTGGATGCTACTTGTTGGAAACACCTTCATGTTTGTCACAAAGTTAAGGATAGTTACTATATACTTGTTGAAAAACATCTTTTTCCGGGAGCCGTGGCCAGTAACTCCGCTGTCTACGTTCCATGGAAGTGGAGTTCCCCGAGCCCTGATTGGTAATTGGGCGTTCCTGGTGTGCCAACAGGGCCTGGCTGCCATCCACTGGCATCCATGATTTTGTCAAGTTGCATGACTGCGTGATCATGTTTCATGATAGTGTCATCTCCTCATGTTTTATGATCTTCCTTCCTGGGGCCAGAAAACATGCACGTCCACCTTCTTGCGCACCTTCTTGCGACAACCTCTGTCGCTGACGGATGCTGGCACAAAAACGAAACAAAGCCGTCTTGTAGGGAACCTCCAGAGCCGTCTGGACGTTGGTTCGCTTGACATGAGAAGACGTCTCTCATGTTGAAAGAACACAGCCCACTGCCCACCGCGGACGTGTGGTTCCGAACACGCTCACCGGCACCGACACCTGCAGTGTTTTGAAAACCTTACAGTTCCGGTCTTTGGTCTCTGAGCTGTCCCGGGTCTTACCAAGTGCATGTGCCGGTCCGATGTCGCACAAACTCGCCCCAAGGGGGGTGGGCTGCGGTCGGGAGAAGCCGACCACTGAGGCAAAGTGGTGGGGCGCACGTCCAGTTTGAGGAGAGCTTTCCCCAGTGTGGAGCCTCGGCGAGCCACGGTCCAAGGTACAAGGCGAAAGACGGCCACGGCTGCGGGCGAAGCCGCCCTCGGATCGAGCCACTTGCGGATCTCCGTAGTGGTCCGGTCCACTCTGCATGTGGTTCAATATTTGCAGTTCTTGAAACTCACTCTCCAGCATATCTCAGAGTGTAAGGACGGGTATTTGTGGAGTGTAAGGACGGGTATTTGATGGGTATTTCTGGGTAGGACACATTCGTCACAAACTGCAGCCATGCCAGCTTGACCAGCTCTAAATCTCTTGAGGAAGAAGGTCGGCGCCATTCCGCGATTGACACAGCCCTCGACCCACAAAGTGTCTCACTCCGCTGCATGTTCCCATGTGTCACCGTATGACATGGCTGCATCCCAGGTGGGAACATGCCACCAAATACAGCCAAAATGGATACAATCAGAAAATGGTCATGTCCAATCACTTGTTGTATGTGTTTTCAATTTTAATTAAGACGTGTGGCGCACTGGAATTTCTGAATGAATGATCATTCGAGGTTGCCTGTATGATAAATAGATTCAATATATATATATATATATACACATAAATTTCTTAAACATACATATAACACACATAGAAACAACTATATTATTCCAAACGCATCGGACCACGAGCTCCTGACCGAAAGCGCATTGTCCCGGTCGGCAAAGCACGTCTCTGCACCACGTCGTCCACTCCCGACCGTCCAAATTTGATCTCAACCCAGACTGGCTGTATGATACGTGATATGTATGGGAAATACGCAATCTGTTTGAAGAAAAGGTGTAATAAAAGTAGTAAAACCCTGTCATTTCAACCAAAAACACTGTCTCTTTTCATCTGAGAACGGTGTTCTGAATCGAACAGCTCTGGACATAGGATCGATTCATCACTCCCAAGTGGTGGAAAGCCAAGACTGTGACTTTGAAGACCCCAGTCACTTAGTGACGACGTCACTTATCTCTCCAACTTAGTCTACTTACCAAGAAAACGGTGATTGGAGAGAGATTGGTAAGTAGACGAAGTTGGTAAGCAAATTGGAGAGAGGTGGCAAACTCCGCTGGTCTGACTCACATGGACCCTTATCCAACCACGACCCGCTGGTCGAGGAACACCGTCGGACCCAGGTTGCCACCCAGGTCCATGGGATCGTTTTTGCGGGAGTGTCTGTTTTCCATGGGTGACCAGGATCCCAATCATTCCACATGGATTCGAGACAAAAAACAAAGCCAACAAGGGACAACATAGCTTTAGCTGGCTGATAAGACTGGTCTACTGACAAATATTCCAAGAGTTGATGCCTCTGCACCATCCTCTCAAATTCAAGTCATCCTCCTCTCCCTGGGACGCCCGGGCCAATCATCCTCATACAGCTGCTGTGTGTTGCTGGCTCTCACTTGCTGAAGCAGTTGATCAAAGGCAGCAGCACCGCCTGAGGAAACGACGCAGTTCTGACGGAAGTGGCCTGAGGAAGTGATGGCCGTGGCCCAGGGCGGGCGACGCATGGCGCATCTAGGTAAAGAAAACACGCACCGCCCCACCCATTGGTACAATGGATCGGATGTTGCTTTGTTTGTCCTGTTCTTGGTGGATGAAAATTGGATCACCCATTTAAGGACTGTTACGACCTGTGGTCGCCTGGTGCATGTGAAGACCTCGCCGTCCTGCGTCTAGTCCAACAATTGCCGAGCTCCCCGGAAGGATCCCACCAAGAGGAGTCGCGGTGCCCACAGTCGTACACCGAAATAGTTGCTACATACATGTACAATCATTTACACCATATGGCGATATGGTGTAAGTAGATGTAAGTAGTCCATACATTCTGGGCATTCTCCCCGGTTCTACTTCTCCGTCGTACCAGCGCGCTTGCGTGATTCGCACGCGCCGGAACTTGCTGGGGATCTCTGGCCATACTTGGCACGGAGCTTCCGCCATCCCGGTGACAGAATCTGTACTTGTGGCTCCTGGAGGAAGCGATGCAGCTTGTATACATGGAGTGGTCTCGAATTGGTGAGATGCAAAAGTCATGAAACACACGGTGCAATAAAGCATCATGAACCAGCAGGAATGGCTTAAGAAACTCAGCAAGATCTTGCATTCCCGTCAAACAAAATGACCAAACTACACACAAAAAATATCGTTTCGAGAGCAATCATTGTCAAACCTAAGAGTTTAGGCTTCGCATGTTGTCGCAAATGGACCAACCTGCCTCCGCGGGCCATTCTGGGCGGCTCCACCTGAATAAAACAACATATAAATATATAGTCTTCGACGTGAACACCTATGCCCCCAAAAAACCTGGTGGACGGGGGGGTCAGCCTGAACCTTCCCACCCATGAACACCAGCCATGTGGCCAGACTCCCCAGGGAGACCCCAGAGGGAGACCCCAACGGGAGACCCAGGAGGCACCACCAGACTCCCCAGGCCTCCTCCTCCAGTTGCACCCCAGACTTCACGGAGCCCAAGGAGACCGTCTGTGACCTGGGCCAGTCCGTTGGCTCAACGGGGAGATTCCGTTGAAAGCGGCTTCACCCATTGACTCATTGAGGCATCCTGACGTCCTGCAACTTCCATCTAACTTAAGTTATATATATATATATATTTTGTATAAAGGATGTGCTCACTCATTTGTTGGACATCCATCATTCACGATGTGTTCAACAGGATGGCAGCTTTCTGCACAAGACCTTGGAGTTTTAAGGCTGTGCTAGTTTGAACTCAATGGGCTGCTGCTAGACTATATTAGATAGAATGGAGGGGCCCTTAGAGACCCCCCCCCCCGCAAACCCCTTGGAATATTCCATGAACTCACGGTTAGAATAATTAACGTTCTAAAGCACACCCCATAATATAGCTCATGAAAGACCCATATGGAGCGCCTCTCTGTCGTCTCTGTATAACCAACGTCCAGGTCTTCACCTGCGGCCGTGCCATATCCACTGGGCCCGAAGCAGCTTCCCAACTTCAGCTGGGCCCTGCGACTTTTTGGGCCAACCCTGGCCATCTTCTTCGCCACCTTGACATCCGATCAACCCACGAAGGCGAACACGTCTCCACGTCTCCGACAGGCCCGCGCAGTTCGCCTGTCCCTCTCTCGGCGGCCGAGCTCCGCTCCTCTTTTCCCGGGCGGCGGTCGGATCTCGGAGGCGCTGGGCCAGCCCGGTCCAATCAAAAGCGGCATCCTGCAACGGCTCCTCTGACGGTGCCGGAGCCAGGTGCCAGGCCGCGATCCGACGTCGCACGAAAGGTGGATTTGTCTATGAATGTTTGATGCCTAAACAATCCTAAACATTTCAACGGTCTAGCCAACAACTATGGCGCCAATAGGCACTGATATGAGCAGCAAACAAAATTACTTGTGTAGCGCAATACCATTTGACATGATTATCGTTTTTGGTGGGGTCCATATCGTTCTCCAATGTTTCTCCAAACCGTAGTTAGCATAGCATACCAGCACATAGGCCAAAACACAAAATATAACTCACAACCTCAGATTAGAGGCTTACAGTGCTTTCTGCACAGGAATGGCACAGCACTTGATTTATGCACTTGGGTTCTTGTGGCACCGGGCTGTGCAAGGATCACAACAAATAAGCGGGGACCTAGTAGCTCGGACCAACACTAGTAATGTGGAGAAGTAGGTCTACGGAGTGCCTGACGTGACATTTAGGTTATCGTTCGCTTATCGTTTGGGTTATCGTTTGGGAAGTTGTCTGGGATTATCATTGATGAAAAGTTGTGCCCATCGGTTTAGCTCAAATCTGCTCAAATAAACATGCAAATGCAATAACATCTGGTAACCACAAACATCTTTGTACCCACTACACCTTAACAAAATTATCGTTTTTGGCGGGGACCATATCGTTTTCCACAGAAACAAAGCCCTCAACATAGGTTTAGGATGTTTTAGGGTCATGCCGTGACTAAGTAAGTCAACCAATAATTTTGTCCGTCGCTCATATAGTGTGAACATCGTGCAGTGTGCGCAAAACGGAACAGTCACACATACATTCAAGCTAGCCCCACATTTGCTGTTGTTTTTGTAAAGCGCTGTCTATAGGAATGTGTAGGACCCCAAATGGTCCCAATATGTCCCAGTAGCTTTTCTGCTGGCTTTTCATCCGACAGAGTCGTCCTTGCAAGTGAACCAGTAGAATAAGCTCTTCCGGTGTCCTCCTTGGACTGGCTCCACCTGAAAAGAACACATGCAACACAATCAGAACAAGGCGGACTTGGGTTGGGAGAACTTGGGCTGTCTGCTGGACTCGACTTATATAGCAAATATGGACCAAGTTTCGTCAAAGCCTGTAAAATTCTTGAGTCCTGCCCTAGAGTGATTACGCTCCATGGATTCCTTGTTTTCAAGGCGTCCTATCCTTGCTGCTTCCAGGGGTCATTCAAGGATCGGATCTATTTGAAGGCTCATTCCAGGGGTCTGCCCGTTTTGCGTGCCTGGTGGACCGTCTCGCTGAGCCAGACCATGGCAGTGCCACTGGCCGGTCGCAACAGCTGCCGGACGTGGTAGGCAGCTTCTGGCTCGCCGTCCCAAAGCCACTCCCCGGCTCTCAAGGGCAACCTAGAGATGTGGGGTGGAAGAACTATCTCAGACTCTCTCTCTCTCTCTCTCTTTCTTTCTTTCTTCATCTCTCTCTCTCTCTCTCTCTGACTGTATGTGTGCAACTGTAAAGGTACAAATAGATGTTTGTTTCATTCATTGAATGCAAATACTGTAGACCTTGTATATAAAACAACAAATATGCGCTGTACAAAGTACAAATTGCCTGTTGATTCTACAACTCCGTGTAAATCGTGCAAACTATATCAAACTATAGAGTGAGAACAGTTGCATGTGAGCCAGGGACTACTAGGACTCTATGGAATGCTTCTTGCTTTGATTACTGTGTTTCCACTGGTGAGATCCACTCATACAGCCAAAGACACTTCTAAATTATGACTACATATCCGTTCCTGGGTTGGCAATGAGCCTCATTGCCAAGTGAGCCCCCACATCCCAGGTGAAAGGCGCTACCGTCAGCGGTCCGCATGACATGTCATGAAATGTTAACATCCTCTAAATACCAAACATGTGCATGGAGAACTACACCAGATTACACCAGCAACAATGTTGTATACATCAATTATTATCAATTCATTCTTGAACATTAGCCTCACATATCTGTATACTGACACATGGTGAGAGGGAAAGACCTCCATGTCTGACCATTTTCATGACAGCACCGGCCCTGAGTCTCAGTCGACACATCTCCACCGGGCCACAGTGTCCCGTTGAGCAGTTTCCGTGCAAAGGGCCCCCGCTCTTTGGGCACGTGCGTGCGTGAGCGCCCACGGTTGCCGCAGTCGGGGACGGAGGGCGGGCACTCGTAGATCTTGATCTCGCCACCAGTGAAGTCCACGCCATGAGTGGAGAAGGACACCGCCAGGGACATGCAATGCTCACCCTTGTCCGTGTCAGGATGAAGAATATGCTTCCCGCCTCGAAATGAGAATAAGTTCTTTCCCATCGGATCGCCGAGACACAATGTGGGGTCTTCAAACTTGAACCTGAACCCACAGTTTTACGAGAAACACCTTGGGATTGGAATCGAACCACAAGCGTGGTTGGGGACTGAACACTGATCAGTTGCCGCCTTGGTTCTCTAATTTGTTCACCCCTCAACCTCATCAGATTCGTTTCTTCAACCCATCTGGCCCGTCCAGCACCATCCACTTGCTACCCGAAAGGAGAAGCCGGGACTGTATACATCAAGCCTTCGCGGTCTCTCCCGCGCCTGGCAGGTAGTGCTGAAAGGTGGCCCAGTGAGGCCATACCTTTCCAGCGAACTCGAAGGCGGAGATCCGTTCAGATGCCAAGTCGTTCACCAAGCGCGAGGCGCGATCGGTCACGTTCAACAAGAGCTGCAAATCATCATCTCCTGGGTATCGATGATGAAGTCGTGGGTCAGAGTAAAGAGCGGTGCAAAGGCGTGAGAAATGGTGGACTTGACATGAAGAACCCAAGAATTAAGAAAAACAAACAACATACTTCTATAGGCAAAAACATGCAAAGACTCATTCATCTAGCTAGGCTACGAACTATCCCAGCAAATCCGAGTTACAGCATGTCAGTTAACCCAGATTGAAACATAACTTTCGGCCGAAGTGGCATGAGTGTACTTGGCCCACTGGGTCTACTTAGTTCTTAATTTGTACCCATTGAGAAACAGAACTTCTAGCCTAGCATCTTCTAGCTGCTTACCCCCAAGATCACCCAAATGTCAGAAAGCGAATACGTGACTGTGACCGGTGCGTGTTGCTTGAGTCCTGGAGAATCTGAGAACCATGCTTGAGTCCTAAAAACCATTGGTATCACATCCCTTATTCAGCTCCAAAGGTGATGCGTCACGATTTTCGTCACGAAGACGACGAACCACAATGACCAACAACAAACAAACACTGTAAACAAGACCCCCAAACACTTTCTGCTATAGCTATACGTCTGGGTCACTGGCAGCTTGCACCATCTGCCACAGCCCACAGTAGGCCACACATCCTTGGGCCAAGCAATGCTCACCTCGCCGTGAGGCACCAACTCGTTGAGATGACTGCGCTTGAAGGGGCTGTCTAATCAAACTAGTCGGGTCGCACACATCTCTTTTCTCAAAAAAACCGCCCAGCTGCCAGCGCGAAGTGATCTTCATGCAGTGGCACAGGGGCAGGAAGAAAGACAGGGCAGGAAGAAAGACAGAGAGGCCCGTCCTTTAAAATCAGGGAAGAGCAACGAAGCAGCAGGGAATCCTGAATTTAGCGGCAGCTTTCAAGGAGTTGGTGAACCCAAGTAGTAACTTGTCGTCTGAACTCCAGAAGGTACCCCTCTGAGATGATCCCCAGTGAAAAGCGGGCCTCTGGATGCGGGCCTTTGGGTGAGCGGCCCCTAGGCTGCGCTGAAGATTCCAAAAGAAAGCCTCCCGATTCCCGTGGATCAATGTCCTTTGGACATTGTTTACATGAAGATCTGTCAAGCCATTCATTCAAACGCTATATATGTCCATATACATGTATATATATATATATGTATGTTTTCTCCTGGTCCTGGACGCCTGTTTGCACCATCTCGTTTGGAATTTGGACTACTTGAAGTTCATCCACCGATGAAATTAGGAACAATATTGATTTCCGGTGGTTCTCACTTTTGAAACAGGGAGATTCTCGGTGGGTTTTCGCCTATATTTGCCCAAAACACACCAGGGGGTGGAACCTGGGTTCTCCCTATTCAAATGCACCCTATATGATTCCATATATACCAGAAAGGATCCAGCAGCACAAAACAACCAGCAGGTCCTTCATGATCTTCATGAAAAAAGATTGGACTCTTTCAGCAAGCACAAATCAAGTCAAAAGAATCCTATAGAAGACACACGCACAAAGAACCAATCCTTCGTCCAGAACCAATGAAATCATTTTTTCTGGGGCGTCCAATGGGTTTGCCCGAAGTGAAACTGGAGATGGGTCTAGGCAAAGAACTCATCAAAGAACAAATACCAAACAAAAAAAACAAAACACTTTGGCACGACGAGCGTGTGGTTCTCCCGCATCATTCGCAGTCCGAGGGCCTTCATTCTTCTCCTCACTGCGTTCCACGCTGAAAGCGCAACGCTCCTCCCACGCGGCCAGCCGACTCACCTGCCGCGAGCACGGATGTGAGGACTTGGACATCCCTGGAACCAAAGGCTGTTGGTCTTATTGAGTCATGTAACTACTGTATACTCGGATTCGCGTATATAAAGGATCTCAACATGGTCCTTTGAACACATTTCTGAGGATCGTGGCAAGGCTCCAACTGGCATTCCTATTAGCTAAAATGACCGATACCTGGTGCACCCACACTTCCTTAACAAAACAAATTGGCACACATTCATCGAGCTTGGAGCCATGCGCATGGAGCCTGTTCTCCAAGACGCGTTCGGTGGTGAGGACGGTTTTTGCGAATGTATACCTTCCGCTATCCGAACTTCACTCCATGGGATTGGATTACCGAATATCTTGTCGATGTTGAACCCAAACACCACGACCAGTGGAACATCGAAAGAACCATCGTGACTCGGGATTGGGACTTTTATGGACTTGTCCGCGCAAGAAGTCCCGGTGACCAGCACATGGTCCAGTCTGTCTGGCCCCAACCAGCGGAAACTCGCACATGCAAAAATGATGTCCCCAGACTTGAGGCCAGAGGGGGTGAACGAAAGCTAGCCGGGCTTCCGGTGGTCTGCTGCTGGTGCTGCTGCTGCTGGTGCTGCTGCTGCCGCTGCTGCGCTGGGCGCTGCTGCGCTGGGTGCTCTGCAGGCGCCGGGTCGTCTGCTGCTGCTGCTGCTGGCGCTGGGTGGTCTGCTGCGGCTGCTGCTGCCGCGGCGTTGGGTATGCTGCTGCTGCTGCTGCCGCCGCTGGGTGGTCTGCTGCTGCTGCTGGTGCTGCTGCTGCTGCTGCCGCTGCTGCGCTGGGCGCTGCAGATGCTTGGTGTGCTGCAGCTGCTTGGTGGTCCCGCTCACCGCGCGCAGGGGGGAGTCGAACCGCGGGGGGGGGGGGTCCATAAGATTGATTTAATCAATTATTTGAGGTTTCTGAGGTGCGTCCACCCCGTCACTTAAGTTGCTAAAGCAAGAGCAACTCCAGCTAGCTAAGGCTAGCTTTCGTGAAAAGCGGGAATCCACTGGGGCGTCACACGAATCGGAGGTACACCGTCTCAGCCTTCTTCAGTTCACCGTCTCTGAACTTCCCACTTGCCTCAGAAGGCTGCAGGAACTCGGGCTTCACCACCACCTGGATCAGCTCGTCGCAGCCAAACACGAAATTTGTCCGGGCTTCCTATGAAACATCCACCTGTGGTCATATACATTTGTACACATTCACATGCATTGTTTGCACAACATAACATACATCCACACACACAAGTACATATAATATAGTATAGGAACCCAATGTTGAAACCAGCATGCAACCAATGACTATACAAAGCGTTACTTTAAGACTGTCAGGCGTAGTGCTAGACTGTCTGATCCATCCCTATTGAACGTCCCATTTGCTCCTGTCTCTTTCTCTTTTCCACTGTCCCTCCACCCAAATCGCCTCTCCACGTGCCAGGCCGCCCAGGCTGCGTGGAGCACTCTTGCGTCGAGCGCGGGACAGGCTGGGTCTGGACGAGGGCACCAGGAAGGGCCTGTGATGCCGGCGACGTACTACGGCGGGAGGCCAAAAGAGATGAACTCAGAGTGCTAGATCTCCAGAAAGTGTACAGGATATAGGCTAGGTTATGGCTACGTTCTAAGTATTTGTCCGTGGTTCTGAAAGACTTGAAAAAGCTGACATAAACTGATGGAAAAAAACGTACCTACACTAGAGAAAAACGTTAAGTAAAAATTAAAGAGCCCAATCTTGATTGGAAAGAAAGGCGCGTTCCTTACATTGAGCCGATTGAATGTTGACATGTTGAACCAAAAAACACCAGTGATTGACATGAGACCAGTCTTTTCGGACACCTTTTGGGACCAGCCATTTTAGGGACCAGCCACGGCCCACGGCCATGGCAGTCCATCCGTGGCCTTAAGGCTTTCTGCTGCAGCAAACGGCTGGTTCGCTCTTCAAAGCTGCTCAACTGCCCAAAGCAGGCAGAGACGGCCAGCGTCCATTGGCCAGGCTGTTCTTCGTAGGGCCGCTCGAAGGCATCATGGCCAGTGCCCAGCAAAGCCAACTTCCTGAGGAAGTCAAAGGGGTGCCGGAGACAAATGAAATTCAGCGTTCAAAAACGGGGAATTCAATGATTTGTTCAATTAAGGCCATGTTTATGCATTCAATTCCCTGCTCAGTGCCTTTCTGGGCTGTTTTCCGGCGAGGATGGTGATGAACGTCCATCCACAAATAGAACGGTTTGTCGGCGCCCAGCAGCGAAAAGTATACACTTGGCAAAGAAAACAACACGTGAACACACACATGTATAAGTCGCAAAAGGATTGGGCAAATGTGTGCGCAACCAGCCCTCCACACTAAGAAAACCTTCAACAATAGCGACAATATCCAACAATTCCAGTCGGCCAGTCTGTCATGATCGAGTCAGGTAGCCTTGATTCCAAAATGGTTACAACATGGCTATGGGTCAAAATGCTCATCAAGCAGTCAGCTTCGAGTTGACACCAGCAAAAACCAAAGAAACGCTCTGCCCGAACTCTACCGGTTGCCAGGCCGGTCTGGCAGGCCGGCCGCCGGTCCGAGGGTCCAGAAGGAGTGGAATGTGAGACGCCCCATGGAGATTTCAAAGTCCAGGACTCCGCAGGGGTGTTGGAGCCGTGGAGAAGTGCCGTGGACTTGAAAGTTCCAGACCCTCCGAAGTGCCGCGGCGCTCGTGGAGTTATGGTTCGTGTGGTTCGTCACCAAGTGTCCTTGCTCCTGAGACAGGAGGGGTGGCAAGAAAAAGATGTCCGATTCAGCGTCACAGGAAGTGCAACAAGAAGCATGACACACTGCAATTTCTGGCACATCACATGTGAGAGTGTTATTGGATGTTCCAACATTTTGGAGTAAGTTTCCCGACATACTACAAACATCTATACAAGCCAAGTTTCCAACATTACATGCATCTGAACCAAAGACTCTCATAGGAGCATCCCTCAAATCACTCCCCCTCCATCCCCTGCAGAAATCCGGGGGGTCCTCGGGCAAGCGTATCTCCAGCTCGTGAGGCGTGAGCCAAATGTGTTGGCGTCGACGTCGCGGGATCAGCAGGCAGCTTAGGCTGGAGTTCATCAACAGCACCGTCTTGCGGCACCTCAAAAAGCCGCGAAACGAAGGGCGCCCAAGCAGCGATGGCTGGGTTCAAGGCCTGTAAAGGCCTCTCCCACAAAAGTTAAGGATTTAAGATGATTTAACTTCGAAACCCGGAACTTTGACTGCGTGTCCTTCGCCGCCCTCGGTACACAAAGGAACTCAACCTCTGGAATCCCTTTTCTCAGGGTTTAATCACTGCTCTCATCACTTTGGTTGTGCCAAGTCGCCACACCTCCGAGGTCCCATCGGCGCGGTCGCGCACAGCCCGGAGCGCCCCGTGCCGCGCTCCGCGCGGCGACCGCGTGGCGAGGCCATGCGTGAGGAGAAGGAGAAGGGCCCAGGAACTCCAACTCATGTCCAGCCATTGGCCAAAGACGTTTAAAAGGCAAAAGGTCTGTGCAAATATACACTATTGATGTACTGAACGTCAGGAACCGGAAGCTTGTGGTAGGAACAGGTTGGAACCAGAACTAAACGATTTAACGTCAGGCAGAATCCGCGCCACTTTGGTGTTATTTTTGGTACAGTTTGTTTGGAGCGTTGAAGCTCGAAACAAAGTTTTGGCCTTGCCATCTGAAGTGCACGCCTGTTGAGGCCACTAGGTAGTGGTGTGTTTGTGGCTCATGACATTCAAGGGTCCGGCAACAAGGGGGCAAGTAAAAACATGATTGGAAGGGCCTTGTCTGAGTTCTAGTGATTCTAGTGCCCTGGCTGAAGTCTGGTTGGCGACCCTTCTGAAAAAAGTTGGAGAACTAGATGAACCTTTCCAATCCAGTCAAGTGGACTAGTTGGCGATTGTATATTTTGGAAGTTGTCTTTCTTCTTGGCATCGGTTTTTGGACCGGGCCTCCCTCTTACAGGTTCTTCGATCGAATCCTTTCGCTGTAGTTCCTTTTTCTATTTCATGCTTCCTCCAGCTGATGGGCTCAAATGAGCTAGCGCACCACGCACCAATGGCACAAATAACATGCGTCTAGAACGCTCGTACTGCTCACGGAAACGTATTTTTTATTTTTTCCTCCGCATTCCCTCGAACATGGTTCGAAAGACATCAGCAACCCCAAAAGAAGCGCCAACCTGATCAATAAGGTCTGTTGTCTTGACCCGCCTAACTTGGACCGTGTTAGACCCTTGACCTTGAGAAGCATCCAGTAGAAAGAAAGTGAGAACTCCATATTCATATCAGTCAGGTGTTTGGAGAGTACATAGCCACACTCATATTGAACAGAACAAGTCCTGACCCAGGCCATGGCCTCAAGTTCCGGGATGAATGCTCGCAGTTCTTGTCTGGCTGTAGGTCAAACCAATACCCACACAGTATGCTACCCGCCTTCGCCATCTTCATCATCATCCTGAAGTTGAGGCACGGCATTGCAAGACTCCATTAGGCAAAAACATGATTGAAGAGCGAATGGGAACATGTATTGGAACATGTTGGACGCCATTGAATATATCTAATCACATTTAATCCTTTTTTTTGGGGGGGGAACCTTTTACGGACCCAACGTGGTGCTACCCCACGTTTTGTCATGGTGTCATAAGGGAAATCAGGAGATTGAAATAGCACAGATTCCAGTTGGACTCTCTTGGTTGGGGGTCAACCCAAGCCAAGCTCAATGAATCCTTGACACATGGTGGCGGACCATATAACGCAACTGAATTTTGTTCTTCAGCTCGTGCGAGGGTGTTTTGTTGGCTTTGATGGCCACAGAATCGCTTCTCGTTTCGGCGCGAGCTGTAAAAGGGGTCTCAGCTGTGGGGAGAGTGTAAACCGGAAAGCAAAAGACCCGATGTATGGCGTAGTGACTATGTAACTTAACTGTATCTGTCAAGATCGACCGTTCAAAACCACCGTGAGATTGGAATCCTTGGCATTCGTTGACCCTAAGGGCCCTAAGGATCTTTAACCCCCATCAAAATCCTCAAATAATAGAAAAACACACACACATCAATTCGTTGGCCGTTTCGTCCCGTTTCGGCGATTGGAGGACCCAACTACCCCACCATGACCCCCCCCCCAACCTGTGGATCGGCGGCTTCCATCTCGAAATAGGCGGTTTTGATCCTTGAGGCTTGGCGCTTGTTCCGGCCTGTCCGCTCTGCTCAGCGGACTGCTGTGCTCAGCGGCATAGGCGAAGTAAGGTCGTGAACAAAATGAAAAAGTGCGGGAACAAACTAAAACTATCTATGCACAGGGTTCTTGAAGCTGCACTGCAAAATGTCGTTTTTAATCTAAGAGCCAATTTCGGGTGCAACCTCTTTGAAGCCAGTGAGTAAGGCACTACTTGGGTCGTGATGTCAACATTTGTGCTAAATATTGACAGTGTCTCTGCCAAAATAATCCTGGCTGTGTCCAGCTTTATGAGGATTCCGCAAGCATTGATTGTTTTTCCAGCCGCTCTCAGCTCAAGCATGGCCACTCAGAAGCTTGGAATCCACCTCGACCAAGAAGCCCAACAAATGTGTCCTGGAATTGGCTTGTGGGGTGAGCAGTCAAATACCCGGAAGAGACAGTCAATCCCATTTGACAATTGAACGCCAATTCTTTTGGCAAACCAAGTTGCAGATATTTGCAGTATAGTTTGCAGTATATACTGTATATATATTATACAGCATGTAGCAACATGTAGCAACTGACTTGACTCAAACACAAAACAATTTCGTTTGCAACTCACGGCCACGCCTGGGCCATTTCGTTGCCGCACAGTAAAACAAGGACGGCTTCATTTGCAACCGACACCAGGAATCGTCGGAATGGCGACTTCCCCCGAGCGGTCCCGGTCCGGCGCATCCCAACGGCCCGCGTGGTCCTCTTCTGCCGAGCAGGCGCCAAGCTCGGGAGCGGGAGCAGCGCCAGCAGCGGAGCGGGTGGCTGCGCTAGGGCGGTTGGAGCCGCCCAGTCCCAGGCGGATGGGCTCAGGGGGACGAAGGGCCGCGGGCCGAAGAGAAGGTTGGAGACACCCGGAATCCTGAGACCGGGACGATGGAAACCAGGTTCTCCATGGATTAAGGATAATATAACGGAATTGGGGTGACTTATTGTGATGCTGCAAGTGGTTGGATTAGATGTCAAATCCTCCTTCGGCTACACCAGGTGGGGTTGGGTCCCCTAAAGGTGGATAAATTGTGAGGGTACCCAACGTGCCACAAATCCGATTTTCTTCAAGCTTGGGCTCAAAAGTGGATAAAATGACGTTGGGTACCTGGATAAATGTGGGGGGAACCCAACATAGGCTCTGGCTAAAAAAGTTTGGCCAGCCTTGGCTAAATTGTTATGTTCCCAACCCTGCCTGGCAATTTATTAAAAACATCTCAAGATTCAAATCCGCCCCCTCAAGAGTCCAGTCACTCCACTCGTGAGATTTGTGCAGCCATGCATTTGTCAAGCAAAGGGCATAGGTTGCAGCCTTTGCTGGGTAGGTGGTGTGTGTGGGTTGTGTGGTGGCTCAAATGACTGGCTTGCAA